GTGTTTTGTGTGCTTTGTGTGCTTTGTGTGTGTGTGTGGTGTGTTTGTGTGGTTGTGTGTTTGCGTGTTTGCGTGTTTGCTTGTTTGTGTGTTTGTGTGTTTGCGCTCTTGCGTGTTTGTGTGTTTGTGCGCGTGTGTTTTTGGGTGACCCCCAAAATGGCTTCGGAATTTTCCTTTTGGTGTCCCTTGAAGACCGAAAAACAAGACCCCTCAACAAAAAAAACACGAACCCATTTTGAGACCGTTGGTTTGCCGCTGTCGACCGATCTGGGCCCATCCGGTCCGCTTTCGTCCATCTCTTGGCCTTTGCTTTTTCTGGTAGGGGTCCTGTTACGACAAATCTGGGCCCATTGTTGCACCGGTTTCCCAAAGTTTGACTTTGAACCCTTCCTCCTAACATGGCACCAGACAGGGACCTGGTTGTTGCAAGAGGAACATGATCTTCCAGGTAGCCTCCCACAAATGCCTTCTGTAGGGCAACTGGGTCTCTCAGTAGTGCCCTTGAACCTTTTTTTGGGGGAGGGTTCCCCTAGTAAAAAAGACTGCAGAAAAAACGGTACCCTTCTTCTAACCTCTCTACTGGAGGACCTAGGTAACTTTCTTTTTTCAGCGGGTCTCTCGAGCCTTCGAGGAACAGCCCAGCCCAGGTACCTGGACGCCTATAAGATGCAGGAGCTGCTGCAGATTCCCCTGCCCAAGGCCTGCGGCTTGTGGAGAAAAAAACGGACGACTCGCTGGGAATTGGTAAAGCCAAGTTGACACATACACGTCACATGCCCTCTGTGTCTACCGACATGTTGGAGATTTGGTCAGAAGCTTCATGTTTTTCGGTTGCCATGGTTGCCTTTTTACAGCTACCAACAAGAACGGATCTCGGTCTTTTTCCGACCCTTTACAACTCCTAACACGTGGTTTTCCTGGTGGTTTTCCTTTACCTGGAGTCTCCATGACCCTTGAAAAATGGGTCCATGACCCCATGATTTTGGGCAAGGACCACCAATTTTTAAAGGGTCCTTAGGGAGACTCTAGGTAGAGCCTCATGTCGTGAGTTCACCGTAAGCCCCATGGCGCCCTCCGGACGTCTTGGCGCAATGGAAATGCGTCCCAAAGATTGGTGCGTTCGATGTGCCATGAGAAATGGAGTCTGACCCCCAAGAAAACCCATTGCTGGTGGTTTGCTTTAAAGGGGCCAAAGCCTGGGTTCATTCCTACCTTCCCTACCTATCGCAGCAGCAAGTAACCTTGGCTGCTGCCATGTCTTGATTATTCAAGAAATGGAAGCAGCGAAGGTTTGGTTGGGATATGTTTAGTGCTGGAGCGACTTGGTTTTTGATGGTTTCGTGCGAATCTCGTCTCCAGCTCGATTTGTATGGGACTGCCATAGTCTTCTTGCCCAGTCATAGCGTCAGTCAGTGGTTTGATCGTGTTCTTGGCCTTCGCAATTAGATGACCCTTTCTGAACGAAGTGACACAAAGTTCAGCTTTTTGAAGGGTTCAAGGCTAGACATTTCAAGCCTATGTGGGCTCAAAGGAAAGCGGCCCTTTTTGTCCGGGGCTCACATCCCTGGTGCCTGATTGGTTTTACCGTGTTTAAGGTATTTATTTTCGGGACAGGTAGGCGATGGCATGGATAGTATATGGTCGGGCCATCAAAGTTGGGGCGGGTCAAATATCCCCACCTGGCACCCCGTATGGCTGGTTTTTTCGGTCAAACTCCCGTAGTTGGCCTATTTGCCCGTATGGCCATGATTTTTCGGTCATTTGCGTAAATCACCCGTATGAAACGACATGTTGTTGGAAAAAAGCCGTAAACAAACTGTATGGCCATGTTTTTCGGTCAAAGGCGTATGACCAAAAAAACGGCCATATGGGGTCCAGGCAGGTACCACCGGTACTGCTCACGCCGTGCTGTGGAGACAACAAGTCCGGCTATTTGCCGGACAGGTGCTGGAGTACGTCAAGCTTTTCGATCCCCATCAGTACCAGAAGCTAATCACCACCAAGTCGGCGCTGGACCACAGCAGGGCCTTTCGGATCGCGAGTCGCGAGTGTTTCGGATCGCCGGGGCGGATGGTTTTTTTTGGACAGCAGAAGACCTCTTTGTGTTCGGGTTTAGAGGGAAACCAAAAGTAAGCTCGACAGTTTTGGGGATCCCCTTGTTTGGAGACACCCATGTATACCCTGCCACCAAGAAACATGGAACTACACAAGCTCTTTTTCAAGACTACTTTCTGTGCACTTCCACATTTGTTGGCGGGCGGTTGCACTTCGGTGTTTGTTAAGAGGAAACAGAGTGCTTGCTGTAAGACGAGTAGTTCTTAGTTTTGCATCAATACTCGAAACGGGCGAGCTGTGGAGACCCATTTGGGAATGCCCGCGTGAGAATCACGGCCAACTTGTAACTTGCTGCAGCCCCGGGCGCGGTTGCTGGAAGATTGCCCAGAGATCAAGACTAGGTCCCCCAGATAGGTGCCCACTAGTCACCCCTTTTTTTGGTTGGTTGGGTTCCCCTAAAATAGATTACAGCAAAAAATAGGGTACACTTGATCTAACCTCTCTACTGGAGGACCTAGAAGAAGTGATGGCGTCAATGCATTGGCAAAGCACTTGGGAGCCTTGTGGTATACGTGCGCTACACGTCTCAGCGGAAGGAATGAAGGAATACAGTCTAGGCAGCTTACAAATCACAAAGGCTCGAGGGATCCTTCTTTTCGACTGCGGAATCATAGTTGGACAGAGAAGGCTACGCACTGGGACTTGACTCCCGCGCAAGGGGCAAGATGGGCAAGCTCGCTCTTCGTCTTTTTCTAGTGGCAACTGTTTTTGATCGATCCGTTTGCAAAGAAAGGTCGCCTTTCATAGGGCCCGACTTCAATTCCCAAATGGGCGGTTGGTTCCCCCCGGTGCAGTTGAAGCCTGCGGGAGGCGCTAAGCGCATGCGCGCGACTGTGGTTCTAGCTCGTTTGCAATTGCAGGGTGTCACTTGGCGTTGCGCGTTTCTATCTGCTCGGATTAGCATAACTGGGGGTCTCACCCAGAACTTGCCAACTGCCCCCGTGTCTGGTGTCTTCCTCGGCATAAGAGTTTTGCCGCACGTATGTGTCGGAAAAGGCGTGAGGACCCCCTACCGCCCAGAAAGGTTCTCAGCACCCTTCTGGTTGAACACCTTCCCTTTTTGGCGGGGGTTGGTTGGTAGGTGTCGTTTGGCGGGTCAGTTTGGTTGCACTGGTGTCAGTTTGGTCCTAATGTTTTAGATTCATACACTGCCTTTTTCTTGTTCCAAGAGAGCACCTTGGCGTTGGTTGTCTTATAGTGGTCAAGAACCCTGCCAGTGACGACATATTCCTGGGGTGCCTCGGTTAGGGCGGGCTCTTTAGTTTTGTTCCTGTCGCCTTAAGGTGAAGGTGTCAGTTCCGGCATTTCTGACTTCCTGCATCGTCATGTCCACGAGCATCTCGAAGAAGCAGAAGATCAGCTTCCTCTTAGGCCGGGCGTTGGATTGTCCACAGGAAGTGCGCAGGTTGTGGCAGGCATGAAGGAGCTGCAGTGTGACATCCCTTCCCTAGATGTTATAGTGTGAGCTATGGGTGGCTCTAAAGACTTGATCTTGGAGACCCATCCATATTCGCCGGAGTACCTCACAAGTGTACATTGATCTGATCACACGATTGTCCTGAGTGCAGATTTGCGGCTTTGGTTTTTCCTTTGGGCCGTGGTTGAGTGGTGGACACCATCAAAATTGAACCCCAGCTTTGGATGGACCAGTCACCAGAAAAACCAATCCTCGAATGAAAAAGAAACCTGGCTCCTTGCCTTCCTTTGCTATCATGGAAGTGGTTGCAGGCAGCTCCCACAACCAACATGTTTCTGATCCAAAACCTGGATACGCGACCCCGTATCCTAAACACGAGAGGTGGGGTTCGTGTTCTTCTACGCATTGCAACAACATATGAGCCACGTGCTCAAACCGTGAGTAGATGACGGGTGGTAAGGGACAAACCATAAATATCTACGGCCGCCTTCTTCATTCTTTACATGGTTCTGGATAGACTATGTTAATGCCGGGTTGTGATTCTGACTCATATGGTGCCATATGGTGCCCCAAAGGTGTAGATTTCCTCTTTTGGTATGTAAACCCAAACTGTCATCCAAAGGAGGTGTGCTTAGAAACCAGTTGCATGGCAACCCAAACTCCCATAACGTCCCAGTCTCCCCAAAAAAGCTTTGGGCAAACGGGCCGCATGCGAAACTGAGCTTCCACTCTTTGACCTTTGACATGCTTGTATTGTTCCATGGCTCGATCCTTTTATCTGGCAACGTTTATCCACTTTTTGAAGAACCTCTGTTTGTTTGATCCAACGAATGGTCTCACCGGCGTCACCGGGGTACAACCAGGCTGCTTCGACGAAAATGACAACCTCAACCTGGACGTAGCGCAGTGGAGCTCGATGCTTGCATGTGCTTAAGATGTTTTTCATTTTCCCCTGTTGGTGTTAAAGGGAACCGATTTGCCTACTGGACGCATTTTCTCATTTTGTCTGGGAACCTATGATTTCAAAGGAAGCCTATGACTATGGTTTTAAAGGGAAGTATGACTTGGTTTTAAAGGAAACCTATGACTATGTTTTAAAGGGAGTATATGACTATGGTTTTGCAGGGAACCTATGACTATGGGGAACCTATGACTCTGGTTTTAAAGCGAACCTATGACTCTGGTTTTAAAGGGAACCTATGACTATGGTTTTAGAGGGAACCTATGTCTATGGTCTTAAAGGGAACCTATGACTTTGGTTCTGAAGAAAACCTATGACTCTGGTTGGCAAGGGAACCTCTGACTCTGGTTTTAAAGGGAACCTATGACTCTGGTTGGCAAGGGAACCTCTGACTCTGGTTTTAAAGGGAACCTATGACTCTGGTTTTAAAGGGAACCTATGTCTATGGTTTTAAAGGAGCCTATTCTATGTTTAAATGGGGGACCCTCCCAGCTTGGTTCTGAAAGAAAACCACTACTCTGGTTGGCAAGGGAAACCTCTTACTCTGGTTTTAAAGGGGGGGGGAAATCCTATGACCTCTGGCAGGATGTCTTGTTTTCGTACCAGGTTAAAAAGGGAAACCTAATGACTCCTGGTTTAAGGGAACCTATGGACTCTTTTTTAAAGGGAACCTATGACTCTGGTTTTGAAGGGAACTTATGTCTCTGGTTTTAAAGGGAACCTATGACTCTGGTTTTAAAGGTAACCTATGACTCTGGTTTTAAAGGGAACCTATGACTTTGGTTTTAAAGGGGACCTATGACTCTGGTTATAAAGGGAACCATGACTCTGGTTTTAAAGGGAACCACTGACTCTGGTTATAAAGGGAACCTATGACTCTGGATTTAAAAGGGAAACCTCTGACTCTGGTTATAAAGGAAACCTATGACTCTGGTTATAAAGGGAACCTCGGACTCTGGTTTTAAAGGTGGAACCTATGACTCTGGTTTAAAGGTAACCTATGAACTCTGTTTTAAAGGGAACCTAGACTCTGGTTTTAAAGGGAACCTCTGACTCTGGTTTTAAAGGGAACCTATGACTCTGGTTTTAAAGGGAACCTCTGACTCTGGTTATAAAGGGAACCTATGACTCTGGTTTTAAAGGGAACCTCTGACTCTGGTTATAAAGGGAACCTCTGACTCTGGTTTTAAAGGGGACCTCTGACTCTGGTTATAAAGGGAACCTATGACTCTGGTTTTAAAGGGAACCTCTGACTCTGGTTATAAAGGGAACCTATGGCTCTGGTTTTAAAGGGAACCCCTGACTCTGGTTATAAAGGGAACCTATGACTCTGGTTTTAAAGGGAACCTCTGACTCTGGTTATAAAGGGAACCTATGACTCTGGTTTTAAAGGGAACCTATGACTCTGGTTTTAAAGGGAACCTATGACTCTGGTTTTAAAGGGAACCTCTGACTCTGGTTTTTAAAGAGAACCTATGACTCTGGTTTTAAAGGGAACCTATGACTCTGGTTTTAAAGGGAACCTATGACTCTGGTTTTTAAAGGGAACCTAGGACTCTGGTTTTTAAAGAGAACCTATGACTCTGGTTTTAAAGGGAACCTATGACTCTGGTTTTAAAGGGAACCTATGACTCTGGTTTTTAAAGGGAACCTAGGACTCTGGTTTTTAAAGAGAACCTATGACTCTGGTTTTAAAGGGAACCTATGACTCTGGTTTTAAAGGGAACCTATGACTCTGGTTTTTAAAGGGAACCTAGGACTCTGGTTTTTAAAAAGGGAACCTATGAACCTATCTGGTTTTTAAAGAGAACCTATGACTCTGGTTTTAAAGGGAACCTATGACTCTGGTTTTAAAGGGAACCTATGACTCTGGTTTTTAAAGGGAACCTAGGACTCTGGTTTTTAAAGAGAACCTATGACTCTGGTTTTAAAGGGAACCTATGACTCTGGTTTTAAAGGGAACCTAACCTCTGGTTTTTAAAGGGAACCTAGGACTCTGGTTTTTAAAGAGAACCTATGACTCTGGTTTTAAAGGGAACCTATGACTCTGGTTTTTAAAGGGAACCTAGGACTCTGGTTTTTAAAGGGAACCTATGACTAAGCAACCAGGATGTTGTCGGCCTTCCTGACGGGGGTGGCCTCCTTCTTCTCCGTGGACACAGAGGTCTCCGGAAATCCGCTTGTCTCTCGGCACTGGGATCATACCCTCCGTGAGAAAGGGCGCCTAGCCAAAAAACCTCGCCTCTGCTAGGGGCTTTTGGTCTGTCCTATGAACCAGTTCTCATCCGCCGCTGAGAAGAACTGCCGCTGGTAGCGGTGACTTCGCTGTTCGGGGGCCTTTTGGGAAGAAAAGAAGTGAGCCCCACAAGTACCTGAATGACCCTGTAAAAAGGGGGTCATTTCTCCTAGGGGGCCTTTTGGAAGAAAACAAAGTGAGTCCCACAAGTGCCTGGAGTCTCCATGACTCTTTAAAAATGGCCGTGGGTCAAAAATAGGGTAACCCAAAATGGCACCCGATCGGTAAATGGAAACAATGACCAAAACCTGTGGTCCAATTCCTGGTGGTTAAATTTTGACCCAAACCCATGTTCCCCCTGCTAGGTGCCCTTTTACCGTTTCTTTCCCTTCAGCGCCAAACAGGCTTCTCCCAACCCTCATCTTTTGCTGGGCACGTCTGGGTTCAGGGGTTCCCGAAACAAAGCCGGTGCCCTTTGACCAACTTTTTTGGGGGGAGGGTTCCGAACCCTACTAAAATAGACTACAGAAAAAAGTTGGTACCCTTATTCTAACCTCTCTACTGGAGGACCTAGTTCATGTGGGTGTGGTGAGTATTTTTAGGGGTACCCCCGGTTTGTTAGGTTGAAGGACCCAGAAGGAAACGGCCTGTGTAACAGGGGGTTGCCCTATTTTGAGACACACCCGGGTTTTTCGCTGTCGAAGATCAGTTTCCTTTTCCAGGACCCCTGCGGATCTGTGTGCCCTTGGCTCCTGGTGAATTGAGCAGTAAGAGTCATGCTATATCGACCAGCGCGCAACGCGTGAGGTGGCGTAAGCTGGTGGCGTAAGCAGAATATACGACATAGCAAATCTTGACACGTTTAGTACATGGCTCAATTCACAAAAAAACATGGTTTCGGGCCAAACAAAGTGATGCTGTTGACATCGTATCTCGCAGCTTGGGGGTCCTTGGGCAACCGCCGTTCAAGAACCACAGGGCGCTTGAAGGGGACTGAACAGAAGTGCCGTTTGATTTCTGAGTTACAAGGGTTTTTGGAGCTCAGGAAGAGGGCTTGCCCCTTCCCCCAAAACCTTGGCCTTCCACCTCCATTTCAGGCTGTGGGTCAACACCAATGGTACCATTTTGGGCCGATCGGGATGTTCACTGGGGGTACGGGGGTTTTCGACCCATGGCCATATATATATATATATATACTCATGTCAAGCAGGAGCCTTTTTCCTCCATTGGAAGCTTACTGCCAGATTCACGAACAGAAGGTCCGGGACCCCAAGGAGGTGCACTAATGATCCGGTTTTTGTGGGCCAAATAGCGTAGTATCAGTTCCCCAGAGTAGGCAAGCGCCCAAATGGGTTTCCTCGTGTTTTTTCTTGCAACCAAACCCCAAAGAAGGGTGCCCTCAAAAAAGAACCGAAGCAGCCGTTCTTTCGTGGGTCCCCTGTGCTCGAATGCGGTGCCAGTCATTTGGGCCATTCTGCAAGACACGCTTGGTGAATCTGGAGAATTTGTTGTTAAGGATGCTTTTGGTCCCAAGTCAACATGTTGATCCACCCCCACTCGAATTCATGATGTAGAGTATTAGCATTTCGTGTGTGTATATGCATGCATGCCTATAGAGCAAACCTCCCGTTGGGCTCAGCCAATGCCAATGCGTCTCATTCATATCTTGGCACGCTGAAACAATCCGGCCCATGAGGGAATGCTAACAAGCGAAACATGAGACGCCACACAGTTGGAGGAGTCGTATTTTGACTTTGCGCCGGAAGCCAAGCTTAAGATGCGCTGACATGTTACGAGTGACAACCTGGTCATGTTCCAGTCTACCTTAAACACCTCAAAAACCAGCCTGAGAAGGAAAAAGGACAAAGAACAAAACACTAGGCCCGAAGACGGCCAACAGAGCCTCCAAGCAACTGGTCAATTCTGATGAACTTACAACCACTTCAGACTTGAAGCAACTGGAATTGCAACCACTTCAGACTTGAACCAAGGGGTTTTCACCCCAAGGTGCCCAGCTAAACCCGTAGACTTAAACCAAGGGGTTTTCACCCCAAGGTGCCCAACTCACCCCTTAGACTTGAGCCAAGGAGTGTTCACCCCAGGGTGAAACCCCGAGGTGTTTGGCGCTGGTACCAAAAGCCATTGGGTTGGATCTTTAGACTGAAAAGCTTTTGGGATTCCCTTCATATTTCCTGTTAACCAGAAAACAAGTTGTCCACTTTTTGCTGGGGGAGCTACAGCACCAAAAAAACCCTCCGCGGCATGCGGCGCTGGTTGCTTCAGGCCGGCAGGTGCTGAGCAAGCGGCTTTTCGCGGGGCTGCTGCGCACGGGCCTGCGGAAGTTGGCCTACTGGGACGCCCAGACGCGGATCTGCAACGGCTCCGCCTCCTTCGACATGATCGAGGCGAGAGCAGCATGTTCGGTCCCCCAAACATGGCACTTGACAGGGACCCGGTTGTTGCAAGAGGAACATGATCTTCCAGGTAGCCTCCCACAAATGCCTTCTGTAGGGTAACTAGGTCCGGCATGCGGCCAGTTGCCCAGAGGGTTGCAGTGCCTTTTTTCAACGTTTTTCTCTTTAAACTCAGCCCACCCAAAAAGGATGCCGATCCTTTTTTTTCCCATGGGCACTGGGCATCTGAGAAGAGACGTCGAAATAGGCTGTGTGCCAACTTTTGCCCACTTTGTTGGGTGGGAGGGTACCCCTACTAAAATAGACTACAGAAAAAATTGGGTACCCTTGTTCTAGCCTCTCTACTGGAGGGCCTAGAAGAGATGTTCGACAGGCAATGGCTGTGGGTGTTTCGGCGCATTTCTGGCAGCAAGAGGCTAGGGTGCCAACTGTTGAGAACTGCTGCCTTTTTGGTCATTGTTGTGCGTAGGAAGTGGCTTGAAGGGAGCCAAATCTTGAAAATTGCAGCCTTCTTGGCTAATTTGTAGTTGAAGGGAACCTATTTTTGATAACTGCAGCCTTCTTGGCCCATTGCTTTGCAGTAAGTAGCTTTAAGGGGGCCAAATCTTGAAAGTTGCAGCCTTGTTGGCCAATTTGTTGTTGAAGGGGGCCAATGTTTGATACCTGCAGCCTTCTTGGCGCATTTGTTTGCAGTAAGTAAGTGGGTTGGCCCATTGCTTTGCAGTAAGTAGCTTTAAGGGGGCCAAATCTTGAAAGTTGCAGCCTTGTTGGCCAATTTGTTGTTGAAGGGGGCCAATGTTTGATACCTGCAGCCTTCTTGGCGCATTTGTTTGCAGTAAGTGGCGTTATGGGCCAAATTTTGAAAGTTGCAGCCTTCCTGGTCCAATTTTGAAGGAGGGCCGGGCCGCTGCGAACTGCAGCCTCCTTGGTCGTCGTTGTTTGCAGCAGGTGGTTAAGGCCAGATTTTGAGAACTGCAGCCTTGGCCATTGTTTTTGCAGTAGGTGGGTTTAAGGGGGACATTTGGCCCCCTTAAACCTACTTACTGCCACAAAATGGGCAAAGAGGGCTGTCCTAGCCGACTTACTGCCAAACAAATGTTCAAACAAGGCTGCTATTTTCACCCTTAAAGCGACTTACTGCCAAACAATTTGGCCAAGAAGGCTGCAGTTATCAAAATCTGCCCCCCCTTAAACCTCCCTTAAACCCACTTACTGCAAAAGATTGACCAATCAGGCTGCAGTTATGAAAAGTTGACCCCCTTCAAGCCGCCTACTTGCCCCATCTTTGGCAGTAAGTCTATGAGGGCAATATTTGGTGACTGCAGCATTTCTGGTACATCTTCGCAGTACTTCAATATATGGCTTCAAGGGCGCCTAAATTTGATGACTGTATCCTTCTTGGCCCAGTGGTTTTGGCTGGAAGTGGCTTTAAGGGGGCCAAATTTGGATCGCTGCAGCTTTTTTGGGGCAAGGAGGCGTAAAATTGGGGACCGACTCCTCCGCGTGGTTGGTTTCCTTTGCGTTCCCTCCGAACCATACCAAAAAGGGTACACCTGATTTCTTGGTGGCTCCCAGCCATCCGGTTCCTTAGCTATTTAGCCTTTTAGTGTTTAGTGGTAGTTTCCGTTTAACCCACTAAAAGTTAACTTTTAGCGGGGGATCTGAGGGCAGCCCAGAGTTGACAGACTCATATGCTGTGGGTTCCGCATTTAAGTTTCAATCTAGGCTCATCATACATGTGGATTCGTGGGTTCCGTTCCACACATTTGTTTAGCCCCGTGGTCGATTTTAGGGCCAGGAGTCCACGTTCTGCGAGCCAAGAGAGGACACAATTTCCTGCGGCATCTGTTTTTGGGCATAGGTCTCCAGACTCCCAGAGCCAACTAGACAGATTACGTTGATATCCCCCTTGAAGAAAAGCACTAGGGGGATGATGTTGTTGCTTGTTCTTGTTCTTGGTTCTGGAGTTTGGCTGCCTGCCTGGCCACATGCCACGCGGAGTGCTAGCAGAAAGCGGCAACTTTAATGCCAACCTGAGACCCCATATGACCATTGTTTTAGATCATGCGCCTTTGACCGAAAAACCATGGCCATACAGGCTAATACGCCAAATATGGGAGTTTGACCGAAAGAAAACAGCCATACAGGGTGCCAAGAACCAAAAAACGGTCCCAAACGACACAAGCACTTCGAAAGCTCGGCCTGCCTTCATGTTGCCAGAGGCCAAAGTCCCGGCAGTTTGCAGGAAGGTGGTGTGTGAGTTTGAACGTCCAAGTGTCGTCCAAAGGGCCCTTTGATGGGTTAGAGTGCGAAAACCCCTTTTGGGGATGGTGAGTTCTTCTATTTTGAGACAACCCCGCCTTTGCCCTGCAAGGAATGGTCAGTCCAAAACAGGGTTTCCTTGTTTGTGGGGTTTGCAACCTAAGAAAGGTTTACCCCCCCCATATCTTCCCAACCAACATGTAGGTGAAAAAGTGGAACCAACATGGAGCCCTGGTTAAAGGGGAAACATAGATATAAAATAAAAAAAATAAAAAATCGGGATTCATCCAAGGGCACTAAAAACAAAGACAACGGCCCTGCGCGTTTTGGCACGTGTTTTTTTCTCTTTTTTTTGCGGGAGGAGTGGCTGCTGGGGGAGACGGACGACCCGCTGGCACTGCCCTTCGCGCTCTTCTTGGCGCGGTTCTCGGGGTTGGAGGAGCCCGAGCTGTTTGAGGAGGACGAAAGGAGCGAATTCGATCTCTGGGAAAGGGTCTGGAGGAGGGAGGTTTGGGGAGGGAGGTTCGCATTTCAGCGAATGGTCCCCCGGCTAGGTGCCCTTCTCACCAACTTCTTTTTGGGGGGAGGGTTGCCCTACTAAAATTACCTCTCTACTGGAGGACCTAGCTGGGAAATCGGGGCCTGGAGGAGGGAGAGGTTGGGGAGGGAGGGCGGGGAGGGAGGAGGGAGCCCAAATCTGACCCTTGAGAGCTGGAAAGGGTCGGGCCCACGGCTGGTAGCCCAAAGAAGGTCACAGACGATTTGATCAACTTTTACTGGAGGAGTAGTCTTTCCTTCAGCCTTCACTGTCCCCTTTGTCATTTGGGAGCTTCATATAGGTCGTTTCCAACAGGCTCGTTTCAACCCTTTTGCCCCGCAAAAAGAACTCAAATCGACTTTTCCGAAGCCACAGGTTTTCTCCGTCCACTGTCTGGAATTTTCCAGAGGAAAGACCATGGAGTGTCAGGAAGTTTCGAGCCATGGTTTTCTTCATCCACTGTCTCGCGTCATTCCGCCGCATGTTTTCAGAGGAAACCAATGGAGTGTCACCGCCGCGTTTGCCATTTGAAAGACCATGGAGTGTCATTCCGCCGCATGTTTTCAGAGGAAACCAATGGAGTGTCACCGCCGCGTTTGCCATCTGAAAGACCATGGAGTGTCATTCCGCCGCATGTGTTCAGAGGGAAAACCATGGAGTGTCACCGCCGCGTTTGCCATTTGAAAGACCATGGAGTGTCATTCCGCCGCATGTTTTCAGAGGGAAAACCATGGAGTGTCACCGCCGCGTTTGCCATTTGAAAGACCATGGAGTGTCATTCCGCCGCATGTTTTCAGAGGGAAAACCATGGAGTGTCACCGCCGCGTTTGCCATTTGAAAGACCATGGAGTGTCATTCCGCCGCATGTTTTCAGAGGGAAAACCATGGAGTGTCACCGCCGCGTTTGCCATTTGAAAGACCATGGAGTGTCATTCCGCCGCATGTTTTCAGAGGGAAAACCATGGAGTGTCACCGCCGCGTTTGCCATTTGAAAGACCATGGAGTGTCATTCCGCCGCATGTTTTCAGAGGGAAAACCATGGAGTGTCACCGCCGCGTTTGCCATTTGAAAGACCATGGAGTGTCATTCCGCCGCATGTTTTCAGAGGGAAAACCATGGAGTGTCACCGCCGCGTTTGCCATTTGAAAGACCATGGAGTGTCATTCCGCCGCATGTTTTCAGAGGGAAAACCATGGAGTGTCACCGCCGCGTTTGCCATTTGAATGACCATGGAGTGTCATTCCGCCGCATGTTTTCAGAGGGAAAACCATGGAGTGTCACCGCCGCGTTTGCCATTTGAAAGACCATGGAGTGTCATTCCGCCGCATGTTTTCAGAGAGAAAAGACCATCATGGTTGTTGTTGGGAAACATTTTACATTTTTGATTATTGTGGTTTAGTGGTTGAAATCCCACCACTTAACTGCTTTTTGTTTGTTTGCTCCCCTTCCAAGGTCAACCAAGCCCATTGGAAAGACCATGGGTTTGGAGCCATGGGTTTTCTTTATCCACTGTCTGGCGTTTTCCATTTGAAAGACCACGATATTTTCATTCCGCCGCATGTTTTCAGAGGGAAAAGACCATGGGATTTTGTTTCCGCCGGGTTTTTCCCTTTAGAAAGACCACGGGATTTTGTTTCCGCCGCATGTTTTCCATCTGAAAGACCCATGGGATCGTCAGGAAGTTTCGGCTCTCCCACATCTACGAGGTGGAGCCGCCTCTTGAGACCGCCGCCTCGCTGGACTCCTCCTTCATCACCCGCCAGGCCGGCGACGCCTCGCCGAGGGCAACGGTTGGATCGATGGATCTGGACGAGGCACCAGAACGTGTTTTTTGTTCACCATGGGTTTGGTGGTTGCCGCCGGTGGAAGCTCAATGCTCTCAGATCGAATGTCGATCTGATTTTCCTCCAGCCCGTGCGTTGTTTTTTAAGGTGCACAGATTTCAGGTGCTACTGTGGGTGGACAAAATCCTGAACCACAAAAGAAACCCTGAAATGATAATTTTCCTGGAAGGTATTCCAACAGACACTGGTTTTGCATGGATTCAAAGCGGTACAGGATTTCGTTCACCCACAGTATTGCAG